CCCCTCTAGGTCTGTACCATCAAGTGGAAACAAGCAAATAGTAACACCTATTCCCTCCCTCTTGCCCCAGGTGGCAGTCAGCCCCAGTCAATCATCTTTCAAAATACAATTAAGGCTGATGTCTCCGGGTAGCACAGGTAAGAGGATGTCAGTGTGAATGTGCTACCTTGCCGGGATGATAAAAGTTCGAAAAAAGAAGGTATGTGCAAAAAGTGCCATAATGGTGTGGGGTTATTGATGATTATCTTAAGACACACATATTTCATCCCTGGCTGTATGACCTACAGATGGCAACTCAGTAGGACTGACTGTATTTGGAGAATAAATACAACTTGATCTTCATAAACAGTTTTTCTTTTCCCCCAAACTGAGTTTGTCAGACCACCTCTAGACAGGAGCCATCTCAATCTCCTCTATCTCCATTGACTTCGGAAGTGACTCAAATTAGTAATAGCTTAGGAAGTGGAGAAAAGTTGAAGAAGGAAGCTTGCTGGTAAGCTCTTGACCTGTACAGAATCAGGGGTTCTTTCTGGGTGTAACTGTGTCCTGAAGGGTTATATGCACAACACCACTCTAGCTCTTTATAGCCTCTGAAGCACCCTCATATATATTACTCCATTTTATCCTCAGGAGAGTTTCATACGGTAGCAAGGACTATTATCTCCATTTTATAGGTTAAAATTCAAAGGTACAGGGCTTCCCTGGTGGCTCAGTGGTTGAGAGTCCGCCTGCCGATGCAGGGGACGCGGGGTCGTGCCCCGGTCCCGGAAGATCCCACAAGCCGCGGAGCGGCTAGGCCCGTGAGCCATGGCCGCTGAGCCTGCGCGTCCAGAGCCTGTGCTCCGCAACGGGAGAGACCACAACAGTGAGAGGCCCGCGTACCGCAAAAAATAAAATAAAATAAAATTCAGAGGTACATAGGGGTAAACTGACTTCCTCAGTGTTACAGCTGAAGGTTAACTAGGACTTGAGTCAGTCATGGCGTTGATTAGACAGTTTTCCTAAATGCTGGTCTGAGAGAAATGACAAGATTTTCAAAGGGATCTCAGTCTCACACAGCATCTCGCATTCCTAAGACCATAAGCATGCTCTTCAACAATAAGCAATCTGCCTTTAAGTCTGTTTCCATGAATATCTCATTTCCATGTTTTTTTATGAATAAAATCACAACAGCATCATAGAGGATCTTTTGCTTTTTAGGATTGAGCGATAACTCAGTGCTACTGTAACTCCAAAGGTCTTCAAGGGTCCTTCTTTTCAACTGATGTGCGGGAAAGAGGGACATACGATTACTTGCCAAGCTCTTCATGGAGTTTTTCTCTGCTGCTGCCAGGAGTGATCCAGAAATGATATACTGCAAAAAGAGAGGTGGTGGGTGGGGAAGGGCAGGGGCAAGGTGGGAGAAGCAACAGAGAGAGAGGGAGGGGTGGGGGCAGAGAAGGAGATCACTTTTTAACATTGAGAACTGGTTGTAAAAAAGCTATCCACACTTTCAACCACTTTCACTGAACTATCCAGTCCTTTTTAATGGATTTGTTCATTTTTCAGCATATTTCTCCCTTATTCAGGCTCAATCCCATTCAGTCCATGCCTTTTATTCAATTGAATGGGGAGCTGTGACTAGGAATATAGTAAGACCAGAGGCAGAATTCACATTTCCATGTCAATTAGTACTCACACTGTGAATTTTAAAGTCTTGTTTTCAGTTTTCCTTTTTGTAATTTGGGGAATTGCTCTTTGGAGTTCACAGTGTTTTAAAAGACGTTGATGGCAATGATGAGTGAATTGATATAGAAGAAATACTTGGCCTGAATGTCGTAGGCACTTCATTCAATCATGGGCTGCTACAGGAAGTGGTCATTATTTCTCATCTTCCTTATCTACTATTCAGGCTGTAAGATGGAGGAAACTCTTTCACTAATCCATCTCTCCTTGTTCTGAAAATTTTAATCCTGGACCTGTCTTCATAGTCACATCTATGAAGGTGTAATGGTGATGAAAACATCACTGTCCCATACCACATCCAGACAGGGTTACAAGCTTGGAAAACATGCACATGAAACAGCCATAAGGAGTACTGTTCTGCTGATAAGTGAGAGGAGATTTATTTGGGATGGGACTAATTTCACCACATGAGATAGTAACTAAAGAGAATTGTAGGGACGTAGGACCAGGTGGGTTTGCTTTCTGAAACACCATGCTATACAGTCCAAACGTCTAGTACCCTGCCCGCTTCATTCTGGACATTGACTTTGGAGAGGTCCTGCTTTGAGAAGTCTTTCCTCCCTGTGTAGATCCATGTAGGGCAGCTTTCTCTGAATTCCCATGAAGCATGACCACTGACTCTCAACCATGGGATTCATGCTCAATGTAGTCAACCTCTCTTTCCACTAAATCACATCAACCAGATAACCTATTCCCTACTCCTGTGCTTTCTCCAACACAGAAATAATCTGGTATATTCCTGTGGAGCTTTTTGACCTTTTTGTCTGTATCACTCCCCAGATGGTTGTTAGTTTTTACTCACCATAATGCCTCCCCAGAGAGGGTACCACAGAGTTACACAGATGGGTGCATAGACCTCCGCGTGAAGCAACAGGAGGCCGCCCAGGGCAATGTGGAAGAGCCCATTCATAATCTGGACAGCCTGGGGAGAGAATAGGGGCACTGATGGATGAACTGAAGTCATCGTCAAGTCAGAAAGCGAAAGTGAGGCCGGAAGCCCTGGTTCCTGACCTGGATGGGGCTGTGTAAGATGTCCAAAGCAAGCGGTGAAGGTGCCAAGACCTTTGTCTCGTTCCGATTCATTTTCCCCACCACCTGGGGCGTTTCCAAGGCAGGTATATGTGGTACGCTGGTGATGACCTGGGATGGGAGACCCCTAACTATGCAAGCCTCAAGATCAAGTGGGGGCATAAGATCACCATATGATAGTCTCTCTGGACGTCCCTGATTTGGCCCCCTGTGTCAGACATAAAGATCACCTCAGGTGGGATCAAATACCTTCCAGTCGGATTGAATTTTGTACCTGGGCTACAGCGTCTGCTTCTGTAGGCCAGAGAGTCCCTAGGATGTGGAACGGAGGGCAACTGACTTACCCCCAAAGCCTTAGATTCCCTCATGAAGAAGGCCTGTGTGGTGCCCAGCGCTGAAGGCACCCTCCTGGGAATTAGTTTCTGAACAGACTGCATGGCAATAGGGCCTGCCGGGAAAGCTCCACTCATGGAATTTCTGGGCGTCGTCATTTCACCCTCAAAAGTCCTAAAAATAAAACAAATAATAAAATGAGGAGAGAGAGAACAGGATTCTTGGCAGTCTTTTATCTCGTGTTGTGCACCTGAATACTTTCCTCTGTATTCTCTCTGTGGGTGTCACTGATGGCAGACACGGCCTCTTCCTAGTGACTTTGGAGCTAAAGCAAGGCCTCCTGCCATGTTCTAAGACAGGATCTGGAGGGGGCATCTCATGCAAGGGCTTATGGGCCCAGGGATCCCTGTCAGGATTCTTTTTTTTTTTTTTCTTTGCGGTACGCGGGTCTCTCACTGTTGTGGCCTCTCCCGTCGCGGAGCACAGGC